AAGTGGCGTCATGACCACGTTGTAGGTTTTTTTAAACCTATATTTTCAACTGAACATATAGTCTAAGCATTTTCTATATCATTACGACTCTTATGAACTATGGTCTGCATACTTTTCCAGGTTAACATTTATGTAATGCATCCCCTAGTGTGAACATTTTTGCTTTCTTAGTATAAATTTCTACAGGTGGAATTTCAGGTTTTTAAAAAGGAGAGATTTTATTTTTGGTCGTATAGTAAATATTCAAAACTATTTGAGACAGTTACTGTAGTATAAAACAGCCTTAAATACTAGGTAAGTGGATGAATGCAACTGTGTTTCAATAAATCTTTATTATGGACACTGAATTAGAACTGTGAATAATTCTTACATGTCACAAAGTTATTCTTTTGGGTTTTTTTCAGCCATTAAGAACATAAAAATCACTCTTAGCTTGTGGGCTGTAATACTGGTGGCCATAGTTTGTCAGAAGCCTTAATCTTGGATTCTAACAGACTGCCAGAACTGGATGAAACCTGGGAACAAATTAGAATAGTGTTTTCTTTTAAAATAGGAAGAAATAAGGACTAGAAAGTACAAAAAATTGACGAGGTTGTCTGTACTATCAATATATAGAACATGAATAATAGAGTCAGAGGAAAATAATTCCATCACTTAATGATGAGAAGAACACCACCCCCAAACACTTAAAGGATGTTTACACTAGAGTTTCTTGCATGCAGATCTACAATTATCTCAAGAAAATTTTCAATTAAAAAAAAGATACATTTAAAATAAGCAGATTTTATAGAAATCATATCCTACCCTAGGGAGAAATCAGGAAACATTCTTACCTTCTGAATAGCATTTGAAAAGGTGTCTTTAGTAAGTATTTGATTTTTTGGAATAGAAACCAATGCTACTGCCTCCCTGTGAAGAGCTGACCTTGTATTGTAAAATACCAAAGACTGCACCGAACACACTCATTTCTGTCTGGAAATTAGTTTCCCAGAGAACTTGCAGTGATTCAAGTTCTGACCTTTATAATGTCTGTTTCAGGGACACTTGACAGCTGACTCTTTGTTAAGGATCAGCCTGGCCAGTGAGAACCACTCCCAGTCTTCTTAGGAGCCAGCAGGGAAATCCCTGAGCTGCTCTCCCTGTTAGAAGCCAGGGTGTACTTTGTACTGCAGTGGGACACCCTGTGACTGTCTTTATTCTACGTAGCAAAAACAAAGATAAAGAAGACTTCAGTTTCTGTGGAAGTGTAGCTTCTTCCACTGGGATACAGGACGGACACAGGGTATCCTCGATGGACATGGAATACTAGATGTCTCTGAAGACATAGACCTATACTGGGCATCCCAGTGTTTCCCTACATCGTAGAATTCTGAAATGATATACTAGCGCAGCATATACAAAGAGAAGACTTCACATATTTGTTGAAGAGTCTCAGTTTCCGGCAGCCTAAAAATTGATTTATTGATGGTTCATTCATTTTTTTTTTTCTAACATTCATTGAGTCATGAGCCCTGCCCTGGGCAAAGTATAAGATCAAGCTACAAGCCCCATTGCAGGAAGACGTGGAAATATCTGAAGTTTTATCTCTAAATGTGGTTAGACACAGCTGCCTTTCAGAACCAAATGTCTATCCATAGTTTAGTAGTCATGAGGTGGTATAAAGTAACTTGAATACATTTTTAAGAAGTTCTCTGACTGCATAGGCTTTTCGGTAGAACTCCCTGCATGGACATTTTGGGTATGCACAGAGGTATGGACTTTCAAATAAACTTTCATGGGTTATTTCATTTAATCCCCTGTCTCTTAGGTAATCTTGAGAGTGGATGCTGTTTGACATATTTCACACTGGAGGAAAATTAGTCCTAGAGAAGTTAAGAGACTTGCTGCGGCTTACTCAGTTAGTGAGGCAACCAGTCATTTAAGTAAGCGCATAACACCATGGAGACAAAGTGTAGACTTCAGGCTCAAATTGTCTTGAGTGTGAATTCTGTGTTTGCATTTAAACCCTGCACAACTTAGACCAACTACTCAGCCTTCTCGTGTTCCAGTTTTCTTCTCTGTTAAATGAGAATACTGCTTATTGCACTGACTTGTTATGAGGATTAAATGAGACAGTATTTGTTAAATATTTAGTGCACAACAGTGAATCAATGTAAAGTTAGTTCATGTGCCCTCACTTTTTTACCTGCCTCCTACAAGAGCACCGAAGTCCTAGGTTCTCTATTCGTGAGCTGAACTTATGCAAGGCAATGTGCCCATGGGGCAAGATCTGGTGAGTCAAAGGGGGAAGACAGTGGTAGTTGCAGAGTTTCTTAGCATCTAGTAGCTCAAGTTTCCTTTTAGTGTGTGTCTCTGCCTTCAGGGCACATGCCACCCCCAGTTCAGATACCTTCTGTTTTATTGTCTCCAGAGCAGCATTTTTAAAAGAAATTTCTACAATGATAAGATGTCTTGTGTCTGTACTTTCAGTAAGATAGGTGCTAGTCACACAGGGCAGTTGAACCCTTAAAAAGTGACTAGTGTGCAGAATGTGTAATTTTATTTTATTGTAATTAATTTAAAATTAAAGTTAATCAGCCACATTTGGCTAGAGGCTATCCTAGTGGAGAACTGACCTCCAGCTGAGGGGGAGGAATTTCAATATCCCAGCTGCTAACACAGATTGACCCCATACTGCATACTCCATCTGGCCCCTGCACCCCACCTCCAGAGTGCCCACTGCCATATGTGTGCGGAGCCAGGAGGATTCTAGAAGGATGCGTTGTTTGGGTTTCTAGTCTTCTTACCACAGACTCAGCCTTGGAGGTTGAATTGTGTCACCTTCAAAATTCTATGTGGGACTCATAATCATTAGTGGGTCAATTTTCATTTGCAAGCATGAGTCCTTCCTTTCCAGCATTTTGTTAGAGAAACAGGATGTTGTTGGGAAACAAACAAAGCAGAGTTCCCCTAAGGTGCCAAGTGCTTCATGCAGGAAGAAAAAAAAATCATTTTCTTTTGTTTAAAATAGATAAGGAAAATTAAAACTCCAGACGTGTGGGAGTAGCAGGGAGTTAGAATATCAGTATTTCCAAGAAGAAGCTGGCTGCCTCTCTCACAGGGGATTTGGACCTGCAGATCTGAGAAATGATTGTTACAAAATCTAAAACAAAATTGGACCACAAAATACTTAAAGTTGCAAGTTAGGAAGAAAAGCAAGGCTGTGACAAAGCATGTTTTTAAAAGCCATTTGATAGAGGTGTGATTCCAGATTAAATAGACATAAATGACTGAGTGAATGAGATTTCATTTTGAGGGTTTAACAGTCACAGTGGTAGTGGTTTTCCAGATTGGAATAAGGTGACACTGTTTTCTTACATCTTAAAAACAGAACTCCATGAAGGATTTAAAGAGAACTTTTTCATCATCTCACCCTTGTTCCCAATTTCCATGTTGCAAACCAGTTTCTTTGGCAGTTTCATCTAAATAAATACCGTTTGCCTTCATACAGTCTTCTGAATAATAATAATATAAATTTTAAAAAAATTTGTACCAGGAATTGAATTCACGATCTCACTGTTGCCAGGCAGGCGCTATACTGATGAGCTATATCCCCCGCCCCAAATAAAATGTTTATTGAACGTTAACATCTACTTCTGAACAGTAAACCATCTCAACGCGCAGCAATTGAAATCCGGGGCAAAGTAGGATTTCTCACAACCCTGAATGCTGGAAGGGCAGTTGTCCTGCTGGTCTCACCTAGCGTCACCTACATCACTACGTGAAGCTGGTAGGTGGACTCTGTTGCAGGGTCAAAGGAAGCTGTTGGCCAGTGTACCTTGGTTTTTCCTCCGCTCTTGGGCCTCCTCAAAGCAGTGATGTTACGTTTATATCTAGATATCCCCACGGCCTCTTGTGCTCGTATGTGGGGCTTCTGGAAGACAGCTTGATTCTCACGGCAGTTCAGCTGACTGGTCACTATAGATGGGTCGCGAGAAGTGTGTAGCGTCTTCCTCCCCGGCTCCTCATTTTTCTCTCTGCTTCCTGTCTGCCATGCTGCGGGCAGCTCTTCTCCACCATGCCATCCTGCCTTGGCACTAGTGGTCTTTGGACTCAAATGTGAGCCAAAATAATTCTCTCTTCCTTTAAGTTGCAGGTATTAGGAATTTTGTTCCAACGACGAGAAAAGAGACTGAGGCATACGGCATTACCGAGTATTCCAGGAGGAGCATTTTAAGAGAGAAGGGATTGAGATTGCCAGCCCTCTGTAAAGTCTGGCCTTGGAAGTCTCAGAATGTGATTTTCACTGCATTCTTTCCATCAAAACTAGGTCACACTTAAATTTTTCTCGGTTGATCTCAATACTTGCTGAATGTCATCTCTGGAATTAGACTTTTGTATATTCATCCTCTATGGAGTCATAGATCTATATTTGTCTTGTTATGTTTTGAGGGGTGAAAAGCATTTTGCATTCACATGGACGTTACTGAGTAGGGTAGTATTGTCATAGGCACTGTCAGTTTATTAATTCCCACAATAACCAAACATATCACTTGCACCTTGCTGGAATTTTTTAAATGTCTTCGTACAAATTTCAGAAACTGAAAAAAAAAAAAAATAAATGAAGGTCACTGGATTCCAGTGGCAGGGAACAGACCCTGCCGCTCTGTGTGAGCAGCTTTGCTGTGTGCAGAAACAGGAGGCATTACTTAGGGGCTGGACTGGAGACCGCCTGCCATAGACAGCACTGTGTTTGCATTGTGTTTTCTTATTTCATCCTCCCAATAACACTGTCAGAAAGTTATTCTTTTAGACATTTATTAATAGAGATAGACTTGACAGGCCCCAATCACTTCTGCTTCCAATTTTTCGTGCTCCACCATAGCCTGGGCTTCTCTCGGATCAAATGAATATCTTGTCCTTTCCACTAACTTTGAAAGTAGAAAGAACCCAGATTTAGAGTGAGAGACCTGTGACACTGAATTTGACCCCAGTGCTCTTTGGGAGTGCCTACCTTCTGACTGAGAGTGTTTCATCTGAGAAGCAGGAGTGGTGGTGTCTTTCTTAAAGGGTTCTGGCAAGAGTTAAAACAGCACATATAAACTAAATAAGCTTTGGAAAGAGGGTCAATGATTTTAAATATTAGCATTAAAGAATCAAATGCACACACCATTCATTAACTAGTACTTTTGATAATGACCTATACTCATTGGAAAATTATTTATAAAACAGACAAATAAGAATTGAGAATGGTTTAGAAGGCCTGTTCTGCTTATCTATTGCTAAGTTAAAAAATACTTCAAGTTTTCCTGACTTTCATCAATAGCTTAATTTTTCTCACAAATCTATAGGTTTAATGGTGACAAGAACTTCTTAAAGATTTGTAGTTGTGGCTGTTAGAAAGGATGATATACAGCAACCAACTCTTCTAGATTCCTCAAAATTAGTATCCAAAGGCTGTCTGATGTTGGCCATTTGGGCAGATTCCTTTACCAGTTACATCTTTGACTAAGGAAACCTTCTGAGAGTCAGTAGGGTCCTCAGCTCTTGTATCAGTGACCAGTCTCTCTCTGAGGCTGACAGATATTCATAGGAAAGATTGACAGCTGACTTCTACCTCAGTAACTGACCCCTAATGCCCTGTGTGTCCTGGGGAAAATCTCCTACCCTCTCTGAACTCCAGCTTGTTTCCCCAGAAAACTGGGAGGGAGGATAGGCCCACATGACTCCGAGAGTGCTTTCCACAGCTAACCTTCTGTGCATTTTAGAAAATCATTTGGCTCTACACCAGGGAAAAATATTTCATAGCCCTAATTTTTGTAGAATCCTTGAAGGTTAGAAAGTGTAGCAATAGACATTCTAACACAAAAACCTATACACTTTATAAATTGGTGCCTGGGGTTTGTAAAAATGCTTGAAAACTTTGCAGTGGTATGACTGTAACATGACAGAATGTCAAAACAATGTTTATTAAGAAACAGTATAACTTACACTGGTTCATCTCTAGTTCTAAACTTAATTCTAGTTAAAAGCTGAGTATATACTTACAGACTATACTTACAGATTAGACATTCTTTAAAAATGCTAAATTATATGTTTTGTAGAGCAGTAGGGAAGAACTATGATTCCTTTTGTATTGCAAGTCATTCTGGAGGTGGAGAAGTAAGGAACCAGGCAGACACTTCATTAGGAACATTAAACTTGGCGATGCCTAGATGAGGATGGCCGAGTCCCGAGGTTAGAAATCACAGCGAATGAGCAGGCGGAGGAACTGAAATGTTGTCTCAGCGAATTAGAGAAATACACCGACTGCCGTCAACATTTAAAGGGGTGACATCTGATGAGAAAGACATGTTGGGCCAGCTCCACTTCATAGAACTAGAAGAAGTTATTAAATTTAATAGAAAGACATTAGCTCAACGCAAGACATTCTCTGCCAATTACGGCCTTTACTCAGGACCAACCCTGGAATAGTAGGCTTTGTGGGACTAGAAACCAAAAGCCAGGTGATCCTTTGGGAGAGAGGTAAAGGCCAGGGGCAGAGGGCACAAGTGAGGAAGTATAAATAATTCATAAGCTTACGGAAAAATGCCCAGGCACAGTGGTAATAAAATAAATGCAAATTCAAGTATCAGTTAGATACCCCTTTTCACTTATTAGTCACAGTAAGAAAAATAATACTTAACCGTTTTACTTTTTAAAATTATAATTAATGCATATTAATTGTACAAAATAATGTGTTTCACTGTCACATTTAGGTACATACATATATCATAGCATGAGCATAGCCACCTTTCTGTCTTTCCTCTCTTGCCCTCTCTTCTTCCTTTCCTTGCTCTGGATTCCCTTCCCCCTTCCTGAAAGTCCCTCCCTTTCAGGTTATCTTGCTTTTCTTTCCTTTTTAAACTTTCCACATCTAAGAGATAGCATGCAATACTTGTCTTTCTACATCTGGTTTACTTAACCTGATGTCCTCAGTTCAAAGATCTCAGTCTCCTTTATGGCAGAATATTAGTTAAGAGTTTTGAGGAACCTCTCTGCTGTTTTCCATAGTGGTTGTACTAATTTACATTCCCACCAACAGTGCATAAGTGTCCCTTTTTCTCCACATTCTTACCATCAAAAAGTAATGCTCAGTTTTGATGAACATTTGGCAAGAATCAGTCTGAAACATGATGGAGAATAAAAACTTGTTCAGACTTTCTAAAAAGCAGTTTAACAATGTGTTTCTAAAGCTTTAGAAATGTTAGTGACCGGCTATCTCAGTCAGTAGGGCATGCAAGTCTTAACTCTTTAAAAATGTTTATGTCACTGTAGGATTACTTGGCCATATCAAAGAATCATTGAATTTATCAGACATGATTATAGTATGACAGTTAAAATTAAAAACAAAACATTTTTTTGAGAGAAGGTCTAAGTAGTTCAGGCTGACTTTGACCTCACTATGTAGCCCAGGCTGGCCTTGAACTTGTGGTGATCCTCCTGCCTCAGCCTCCCAAGTGCTGAGATTATAGGTATTTGTCACCACACTTGGCTAAAACAACATTTTTACCTTTTAGATAATTTGCTGAGGTATTTATGGCTAAGATAATGATTTAGAATTTGGCATTTTTAAAATTTTTTATTAGTACATGTTTGCAGTATGTAATGTTTGCATTCCTTGTGGGAAGTTGATACATGTACATAACTCTTAATCCCCTTTTCCTCCCTTTTCTTCCCCTCTCCCTATGTCTTGATCTCCTTCCTATTTGAGAAATATCTATCTGCCTACTCCCTATTGTCTATCTTTTATTTTGCTCTTTATTATATTTTGGTTTCTCTTATATTTTGGTTTCTCATATAAGAGAAACCATGCAATACTTAAGCTTATGTGTCTGATTAATTTCACTTAACGTTATGGTCTCAAGGAGCACCCGTTTTCCTACAAAGAGTGGAACTCTATTAGGTGTAAACGCCACATCTTCTTTATCCATTAATCTGTTGATGGACATACAGGTTGCTTCCGAGATATAGCTATTATGAATTATGCTGCTATAAATATGACTATGCATGTATCACTATAATATAATGCTTTCAACTCTTTTAGAAAGATACCTAGGAGAATAGCTGGGTCAAATGGAATTTCTAGTTTTAATTTTTTGAGGAATCTCTGTATTGATTTCTATTATTCATTGTGCACTAGGTGGGCCTGTACATGCTGTGGATAGAGAGGGACTAGTGAAATACCAACCATCGTTGAAGCTGGGAAATGGGTATATGGGGATTTGCTATAGTATTCCCTCATTTTTTTATTAGTTACTGTTTGTAATATAGAACAGTGATGTTTATTTTGGGAAATTGGTACATGCATATATTTTGATCATTTTAAAACCTTTTCTCCCTTCTTTTTTCTCCCCTACCCCTTTCTCATCTCCTAGTGACATAGGAGAAGTATAACTCCCCCCCTGCTAGGTGTCAGATGTGCCCAGTTCATGTCCTCCGAAATTGAAGAATGAATTCCAAAGGACAAAGAAGGTTCAGAGTAGGAAAAGTTTATTGGGAAACAGGAATAGCTGCTGAGAGAGAGGAGGGGTCCTGAGTGGGTTGCCAACAAGGTCATTTCTCCAAAAATGTTTTACAGGACAAGATCACGAGGTGGGGACAAAATCACAAGGTAGGTGCAAAATTATGTGATGGGTCATGACAATAATGACTATAAACAACCCATAAGATTACAAGTATATCCACTTAGCTAACAGTGATGCAGTAGGGAAGTGGGACACGTAGCAAAGTTATATGGCTGACATTAACCTTGGCTTATCTATGACTTCTAAAACAGGAACATTTTGGGGAAGGGATGGACCTGCATGGTGTTTTGGTGACTCTGAACTTAATCAACTGTGTGGTACCGGTTATAGCATAATCTCCAATTTCCCTTCATCCCTAGGGGAAGTATGTAAATCTGGCCATTGTGATTTTAATCCCAAGGCATTGCCTTCTTTTTTTTTTGTTTTAAATTTTTTATTTTTTTGAGACAGAGTCTCACTATGCAGTCCAGGCTGGCCTTGAGCTCACTTTGTAGCCCAGGCTGGCTTCGAACTTGCAACGATCCACCTGCCTCAGCCTCCCAAGTGCTGGGGTTACAAGCATGCACCACCACACCCGGCGCATTGCCTTCTTTAGATGCATCTCCAGCCACAATTCTGGTGTTTCCACCTTTCACTGACTTGCTTGAGAGTTCAGTTCCTCTCTGACTGTACGTTAATTTTATCTAACTTAGCTGTCTGTATTACTGGAGTCTACTTTCTAGTTTTTTATTATCTCTCTTTTATATTATCAATCAGTCAGTCAGTCATATTTTGGGTTTCTCATATAAGAGAAAACTTGCAATATTTAACTTTCTGATGCAGAAAATCCTCTCCATTTTTTTTTTCAGGTACCAGGAATTGAACTCAAGACCTTGGGCTTCCCAGACAGGCGCTGTGCCACTGAGCTAAATCCCCAGCCCCAATCCTCTCCATTTTTATCTGTCTAAAATTTTCCATAAAAATAAAGACAACAACAACAAAAGCACTTCACATCCTCTGATCTAAATAATGTTCAATTTAAGACTATATCCCAATGAAGTAGTCTGAATAGAACACTAATTCATGCACAGAGATTACTTCCAAATGTCCCCAGGAACTCTATTCTGCATTATCATTCACCTCTAAATCACTCAGCAGCATCGCATTGCCATCAGGATTAAAGCCAAAACTCATACTTACCAGCAAGGCTTTTTCATCTCTGCTCAGCTCAGATATCCCAGAACACACAGTGACCCACCAAGACGACCTTCTCTCAGGGACTCTGTCCCCTGCCCTCTGCTCTTCTCCGGTCACCTCCTGCTCTGCTTCGGAACCTGGTCCCATGCTGCTCCCTGGGGGTGGGGCACTTCTCTGTCCCTCTGTGTTTCCCTCGTGCTCTCACGACCCTGGATCCTTCCCCCTTTGAGCCCTTTTCTCAGTTCTATTTAAGTAGCTAATTGGATAAATATATGTTAGTGCTCAGTGAACACCTACCTATGCCAGTGACCTCCGCCCTCCTACTCATATCAATATCTTCTAGAAGTCTCCTATATAGCAGGAATTCAATAAGTATGGGTTGGACTAATTAACTAGTAAGATAATCAAACCCAATTTGGCCAACAAAACCCCATGATTAACTGAACTCTGCCTTCGTCATATTTCTGAGTGTCAAGATGGTAGCGTAGAAGGCCTCAAAAGAAGACTGCCTCCTGTTCTTTTCTTCACCTTAGACTTTTGGTGGTAAATACAGTGCCTTTAGAACTCATGGTGTCTTCTTTTCCTTATGAGAGAACCATGTCTCAAAACCCCCTCCAGTGGAAATCACCTTCATTCTATGGCTAGAACCCCTCTGCATAATGGAGTTGACAGAAAGAATAGAGAAAAAACTCCAAGATTCCAGTGTCTTGTCAGGCAATGAGTGGTTGAAAGACTAAGATCAGAAATAAAAATAAGGGCCGGGCACTTCAGCTGCACAGGGTGAATCTGGTTTTATTCCATTTGCTCAGGAGTGTGTATTCCAGGGACTCCTGCATTCCCCTGGCTTCTGGTCTAAGGTAATAATGTCAACAAAGTGTAATCAAGGAGAGATGTTCTTGTAATTGGGTAATGAATGGGACTTTGCTGTGCTATTATATTAAATTAATTTCCAGAGCGTAAGAGCCTACTTCCTGGCTCACTCCCTTTCAGAATCCAGACAATGGAAATAGCAGGCAATAGAAAACACATTGGTCTTTTCTAAACTCTGCTGCAATTCCTGGTGAGTTGCATGAACTTTCTGGCCCATTTTCTAAGAATCCAGCCCAGAACACCCCTTAGTCTGGGTTTATTTGGCTGTTTCTTGAAATTTGATTAAACACTTCTGGTAGGAGACATGTGATGTCATTTTGTCCTCACCCCTTGTCACACAACACCCACTTTAAAGTACACAGCATCCAAGCAACTTTGTAAGGCTAAACCTGTGGGTATCTTCAGCACCCTTTTTATTTATATTTAGCTAAATATGGTATTTAAGTGTGAATTTCAAGGTACCTGTCTGGATTATTTATTTTATGAGTTTTGAATATATATATAATATGTGTGTCTGTTTTCCTCTTTTTTTTTCTTTTGCTGTGCTAGGGATTGAACCCAGGGCCTTTGCATTGAATTACATCTGTAGTCCTTACGAAACGTCTTTGAGATATGGTCTCACTAAGCTGCCCTGGCTGGGCTTGAGTTTGTGATCTTCCTACCTCAGCTTCCCACAGTGCTGAGATTACGGGCCTACGGCAGCTTGTTTTCTGCTGCTTAATCTGTGTTATTACAGGGGACACAGTGAAGAACCCAGAAGTGCAGAAGGAAAATGTTCTTTCCCGTACAATTCAAATGGCAGTGTTTTGTTTTGCTGCATTCTGACCAGGACACAAATTCAGATGTTTTACTTCTTTTGGCAACGGGTCTGGGCTTAATCTTAACTTTGGTGTTTCCAATGAAACACCAAAAAGTTTGGCTGAAGACCTTGGATATGCTCATCACAAAGTCTCCAAGGTACTTTAGAAAACCACCCCCAACAGGAAGTCTGTACTTTGTTTTGAATAACTGCCCAAGGACTGGCAGGGAAGTGTTACCTAAGAAAACAAACACATACAGACAAGTGGACATTTTCAGTGCAGAGCAGCTTCTTGTTTGATGTCCTTTGCTTTCATTCATTCATAAATTTAGACAAGTGAAATACTGAGTCAGGACCTGCGGCGAGTGCTGGGTTATAGCAGTAAATTAAACCAACAAAGCGTGTGGCCTTCTAAAATTGCGTCAGAAAGTGGCAAGGACGATGGGATTGGTGCGTGCAAAGAGGGGGAGTATTTTGAAGGGTATTCATGGCGATGTATATTTTACTATAATACATTGTTTTTAATTTAAATATTCAGCATATTTTGTGACCAAACTATGTATGATTATCAGTTTTCTGTTGTCCATATGCTACCATGTTTCTATAAGACCATGGATTTCTATGAGTTTTTTTACCTAGAAAAAAATACAGCCTCTCAGGAGCTCTGCCTAAGGCACGGAGTTGAATGATGCAGAATGAAGGAAAACCTCAATAATAACGGGGGAGGGGGGTAGAGTTGGTTTGTGTTTTGGTTCTTGTTATTATTTTTTACTATCTTTAGCTTTATCTTTGTTGAACACTGGAGCCATAAAGGTACCTTAGTTTAGCTATGGGTTTACTGATTTTCTGGGCACATTCTAGTAGAGAGTAAGGAGAGAAGATGTAGACACATTATTCCCCAGGATTCTATTCATCTCCCTGGGTCTCAGAGAAAGAGTCAACAGAGACTAAGTGAAGGCTGAGTTGAACATGTCTGTAGAAATTTCAAGTGTGTGTCTCCACCAGATACAAAGAGGTTCTAATGTGGAAAAAAAAATAAAGTCAATGTCTTAGTCACTGGACATAACATCCTACATCTGCAATTTAAAGGAGGAGAGGTGTGTTTTGGCCCACAGTTCAGGAGTCCAGTTCGTGGTTGTCTGGCTCCAAGGGAGAAATAGCTTGGCAGAGGGGCATAGTGGGGGAGGGGCATAGTGGAGGAGAGCTGCTCAAGTCATGGTGACCAGGAAGGACGTGCGGAGGGAGGGAGAGAAAGAGAGGAAGAAGGAGGAGGAGGAGAGAAGACAGAAGGGAGGAGAAGAGAATAGAATAGAATAGAATAGAATAGAATAGAATAGAAGAGAAGAGAAGAGAAGAGAAGAGAAGAGAAGAGAAAGAAGAGAAGAGGATATCCTTCCAAAATCATTCCCGTAGTGACCTGCTTCTTCCAACCAGGCCCAGACCTAACCCTAAAGGCACATTCAGCTGTGGGCTCATCTGTGGTTTAATCCACTGATACATACGGTACTCCAATGATCCAATCACCTTCCAAAATCTCCACCTTTGAACACGTGAGACTTTGAGGGGGACATTCTAGATCTAAGCTATAACAGTCATATGGAGATCATGTATGTGATCTGTTATCTTTTCTTTGAAGACAGCTCATTCAACAAGTGTGCATGGAGTAGAGGTACTGAGCACCTGACTGTCTCCAGCTCAGGTTATGATGCTCAAGCAGGTACCCTGCCAGCATGGAAGCTCCATTCTAGGAAAGGAGACAGTGCCTGGGTATCACACAAGTAATTGATTAAGAAGGTATTAAGCACTGACATCAAGCAAGGTGTTTTGACAAATGATGTCAAGGAACTGCTCAGAATGGCCAGATGAGGCCTCTGAAATGAGACCATTAAGGTGATATAAGAGTGAACTGAAGAGTGAGAATAAATCAACATTTGTAGGATGAGACTGAAGTATAATTTAGAATCAACTCATTTCTTCAGAAAAGATTCAGATTTGGCCTCCTATTTCCATTTTCTAGATTCTGAAAGTGAGGTAACCAGGAAGTAACTTTCTTTGTTTGGAAATTTCAAAGTTGTCAGGGGGGGAGAATATATATTGTGGGTTTTTTGTATTTTTTATTAGTACATGTTTATAGTACATAATGTTCTTTATGGGAAATTGGTGCATGTACGTAATAGATCTTAATTCCTTTTTTTATCGTCTTTCCCTTCTCCTCCTCATCCCTCCAGTCATCCCTTCATCCCCTCCCTTTTAAAAAAATTTCCAATTAGTACCATTTTGATTTGTTAAAAAAATTTAAATCAAACTACTAATTTTGTTCTATGTTCTGTATTTTAAGTGGCCGTAATGCGCCATGAGATGTCTGATGTTGGTTTCCACGGGGAGCAAGTGCTCCTCCATCCCTCAGCCATGGTTTTGTTCTTCTCTTTCTTCAGAAGTAACTGTCTTATTTTATATTAACTTTCCCATACTTATTCCACATCTGAGTTCCTCCAGAAGTTTGGGTATTTTTAAGTTCTTCATGCAAGCATTAATTATTTTATCATAGCAATATTGGTTTTTGATGGTAACTGGGTAGTTTCTTTTTCCAAGTTCCTTATCGGAAAAACAGTCACCGGGATGATCAGAAAATAATAGTTAGATTTTCTTTGTACTATTTTTTATCCATACAAGGATCAAAATTAAGTCTATACAGCACAGAATGTAAGAGGGCAGGTGGCTGCACGAATTTCAGTAAATGTGCTGCCGAAGCGAGCATATGGTCAGATGGATTTTAGAAAGATGCTTGCAAAGCAGAACCACATTGAAAACAGCAACGGAATTACATCAAATCAACCCAACGGTGGCGGCTCTTCTGAGGTATTTGCCAAGTGTCATGCTTGGAACTAAACACTTTGTTTGCATCCTTTCATTTAACTCTCTCAAAAACCCTGCAAGGCTGAGTGTTCCCATTTTACAGAGGAAGAAACTGAAACTCCGAGGAAAAGTATCCCATGGGAGCGTTGTCAGCTATTAAGTGAGTAGGAAGTGGCTTGTGACTCCAAAGTGCATAGCTGTACTAAATACCATGAGTACTGCTCTTCCTTTCATGTGAATTCATTACATTCTTAGTTCCGTTTGCTCTCTAGAAAAATTATACCCATTTCTTTCCCATTGCAGAAAAGCACTACAACTCATCTGCTGCTCATTTCTCAGCAGTGGTTATTCCACAAGAAAACCCAACTTTTACATTAGTGAAAATGTATGCCATTCTACCAGTGAGAAATCTTTAACTTAAGTAAAAAATAAAGAACAGAATGCCTGAAGTGAATGTTGAAGTCCTGATAATAATTTTAATGAGGGTGATGGCATTTAAACACAGTACACAAAGAACATACACAAATACTTGCAAATGTTGCTATTCCTCATTTACAGTAGCTCTACTATGATGTTCAGAGTCTCTGGGTATGCCTAGAAAAAATTTTTGTTTAAAACCTATGATCAAGATGGTAGTAAATATTAATGTCTTTGTTATTAAAAATTATTTCAAATTAATAAAAGTATGATTATTATAAAAGGGAAAATGATGTGAACATATCAAAGCAGGAGTATGTATAAATAATGAACTCATAAAATGGCTAATCTTGAAGATATTAAAAAATGCAAATTAAAATATACAACTCTACATCCTATTTTCCCTGTCAAATTGGCAATGATCAAAAAAAATGAAGACACTGCAGTTAGTAAGACTGTGGAAAGGTAGGACTGAGTTATCTCTGATGGAGAAGAAATGGCTTTTCTAGAAAGTAATTCCAAAATATGGTTTTTAGCCCTAAAAATGTAGCACTTACATAAAAAAGCACTAGGTACTAAAATAATACTTAATGACATGATAAAATGTATACAATTAAGTGAAAAATACCACGTTATGAAATGATGTTTTTGCAGTGAAGGTAT